TTTTGATTTATATAGTGAAAAAAAAACCAGAAATCTATTCATTTTCAAACACAAACAGTGCTTTCTGACTATCTTATACTTAATTTTTATTTCTAGGAAAACACTTATTCAGATACACTTCGCCCAAGGTTATATGACTGCTAATAAGACTGCCAAGTCTTCCGAGTTACCACATATGCTACAGGAACCTTATGACAAACTAATTCAGATTGAGAGAGACTTCTTTTTTTATGGATATAAAAACTGCAGTGCTGAAATCTTGCTAGAATGTGCAAATATTCACAGGTAAGTTTATTCCTTTGATGGGAAATTTCATTTAATTTGAATTAAATTTGAATTGGGTTAATCTTATATAGCGCTAGTAATATGTACTGTTGTTGAGATCCAAAAAAGGGTTGAAGCCACTAAGCTAGCTTTCTGTCTTCCCATCTGTAAAGGCATACTGGCAGCCAGAACAATCCTTCTTAGGCATTTGTAGACTTTTAGGAATTGCTATAATGGCAGAAATACAAAGCAGGATATGCTTTGCCCCCGCCGGTTTGCAGCATGCCCTGTTCTGGAGACCTCACCGCGTTACGTACTCCCCTGTTCTGGCTTTTTCCCTGTGAAGAGCTACTCCCAAGCAATGCCCGGCCTGCCGGCCTCTCTTGGGCTCTTTCCTTACTGCAGCAGTGAGGAGTGGAAAGAATAGTTCCAAGAGCAAGACCTTGAAAAACAATGAGTAAATGCTTACTTTTCGTTGTTTGGGCCCTTAACAAATACATGTGCAAATTTAATTTATCTAGCATTTACATTAAACATCCTCAAAATTATTGTTCTCTTTTTTTATTTTTAGGATGTTTGCTAAGCAGACAAGAAATGAAGAAAAACATAGTCACTATCTAAATGCTTATAACTTAGCTCAGAGGGGAGTGTATGAAGCAGAAGAAGTGTTTAATAATATTTCTAGCTTATTTGCAGTTAATGAGGTATGACTGTATGTTTTACTATTAAGAGAAAAAAAATCTAATTTAATTTTACTATTCATATGTTTTTAGATAATTCTTGAATGCTCCAAATGGCATTATCCTCCTCTGGTCAGTGATAGACATTGTAGAAATACAGAAGGAAACATTCCATTCTTGAAGAATATACTGTTTAAATAGGTAAAGATGGCAAACAGAATGACAGCATGTGTTTGACTACATCAATTTTATTTAATTTGAAAATTTATGTAAAAGTTACAATAGAAAAATTCTAAGCTTGGAGATACTTCAATCAATTTATTTTCTAAGTACGTCACAAGTATAAAATTCTGCATAATGAAGTGTATATTCTTCAAGAGATAAATTTTTTACACAAAATATTGCATAAAAAATCTTAAATACTCGGTGTATTTTGGGTACATCTAGTTCATTATTTGCCTTTTCAAAGGATGAATATTTCTGTGCTTGAAAAAACTGCTGCCAAAAGCAATAATTTTAAAATTCCATTTTTATATACACATTTACATCTCCTTTGAAATTACATATTTTTACCAAGGGCATAAAACACATGAAGCAAAACCTGACTACTGTTCTTTCACGCAGCCGCTCTCATTGCCTTGTAGTACATTTGACATTGAAGTTTATCTTCTAAGTTATTGAATTATGTTTATGGTGATATCTATGATCTATTGATGTGTTGCTGTTCAAACTTATGCTTCTTCAGTTAGAAATAAAACTGTCTAACTTTTTAGCAGGTAAATATGAAAAAAAATATAAAATTTTACTTTCCTTTATTTGTATTTCAGACTACAAATATTAGTATCCCGTTAGAGAGACAGCTGTCTAACAGGAAACTAAAATTCGTGGAAATTCTTCTGGATATTTTTCATCTTGTTATTACTGAAAAAAAGCTCAAAAAAGTAGGAGAGACATCACTCCATAAAATCGTGGAAGCATTCATCAGAGTTAAAACTGAAGATGATTCAGCCGAACAGGTATTACAGTTAGAGCTAAGAAATGCCCCACTAAATCAGACCAGTGAATATTACCCCATATTCTCTCCCAGATAATGAAGCCTCTGCCTTTGCAATATTACACACCTCAGATATCATATCTAAAGCAAATACCTATATTTGTGTTTGTGAATAATTGATTCACTTGTGTACCTCTTAAGAGACAGCTGTTTTGTAGTTGTAGGTGTAATCAGATTTTACAAATATGTGTGCATATATGCCTATATTGTATGCAAAATAATATGTAATGTTTTTTAAAATATGTGTGCACATGTATTTATAAGCATATAAACATATCTATATATTTTCCTAGGTCTGGAAGCATATAGAACACACCATAGGTCACATTACATTGGCTCAGTTAGCACATGTACAGAATCTCTGTAGAGGTTGTCCTGACGTCAAATCCAAATGCCTCTGTCTTACTGGAAAAACTCTTCATTTACTTGCTGTTACCATGGATCCCCTACATTCAGAGATTTACTGGCAGCCAAATGTTACGGTATGCATTCTTTTCCACATGAAAGTTAATTCTTCTGTGTAAAGTTGTCTACCAAAATATTTTTTCTGTAATATACTCTTACAATACTACTGTTTATTTCAGTCTAGGTTTTACAATTTGCAGGCAAATCATAATAAAAATATATCCTAAAACAAGTAATTTCAGGAAAGTGCCTCTGCCTAAATGCCATCCTCATGTATTTGGCCATGTCTCAGATAATCATAATATATCAGTTTCTTTTTTTTTTCCTGAGGTTTAATAGTTCCAGTATTTGTAGAAGACAGACTTAAAAAAAAATCCTTGAATGCTTTAAAGGGCTAGGTAGGTCAAACAGTGCAAACAAAACATATTTGGTTTGTATTCGAAAAGCAAATCTCACTGTGCATGTAAGAAAGGAAAAACTGAGTCTTTACACTATTTAGTTATATTGTTCATAAGAAATGAATTGAGGAAAAAACCTCAGATATCTCAGAGATTATATTGGGGCCCTTTTTAGCTTGTATTGTTCAAATTATCATGGTAGCATATTAAGAAATGTTGATGCCTGGTGTTGTTGCTAAATCACTCACCACAAGGGATCATATGCCTTCTTGTCACACAGGTGAGTTCCATCTTTACCTGGACTTTCCCAAAAGAAATGAAACCTTCTTAATGAAGAAATCTTCTTAATGAAGATTAATTATTCTTTTCCTTTTATGATGAATAGGAGGAAGCTAAATCAGACAGCACAAAACCTTGCCTGACTTCAGCAGAATGCAGTGAAAGGGAAATGACGAGCAATATTTTATCAGCCAGAAAATGTCAACATGATAAATATAGGGGGAAAACACAGGAATTAAAGGTATTTAGCATACTGGCTTGCATAATAATTTGAATGCATCCTTTTTATGGAATAACGGTCACCTTACCTTGCTCTCTTTGGTAGAAATGCTGATAGCTTATAGAGGTGACCTTAGGAAAGAACAAATGACCTATCCATCTCCACTCTACTATGAATCTCTCTCCTACCTCCTAATGCATGCTATGCTACATTGTTCCTGTGGAGCTTTTTTGCCTTTCTAGATTCACACTGACCCAGCACGTATCCACCAGGAGAAAACGGACAGGCAACTTTCTTTTTGTTGCACAGACATGCCTTTCTGGGGGAACAGCATTTTGCAATTGATAGAACAACCATATTTAATAGACACTTTTTAGCATAAAAGTCTATAAAACCGTTGCTAAATTTAAGCTATATTACCAGCTGAGCTGAGCTCTGTGATAAAAATCAAAACTCACTAGGAATTTGGGTAGTATGGTTGCTAATTAATAGTATTTTAATGAGGCATAATCAGTAACTATTCATGTTAAGAAATTACATATAATTTACTGTCAATAGAAACAACCGTACTGAGAACTACAGAAACAACTGCATTGAGAAGTGACTGAAAATTCAGTCAACATTGTGTTCTGAAGAGCTCACACTGGCTGTAATTTAAGTACTAGTTCCCTAAGTACATGTTTTATATTGGAAAAAAATGCTCTTTTAATAATTCTTTAAGTATCTATTTTATAATATTATGCAGAATGACTCAGATGCATATTTACATATTTTGAATATATATTAAATACCTCAAAATGGAGAAAAAACATTAAAAGTTGTCACCAAAAAAGTATTTAACTTTTCTAAAACACTCGTAATCCATATACATATAGCAGATATATAATATTAATGCTCATTTTAATAAAAACACTTTTATTATCTAGAAGAAACATAGATCGTCTCAGAACTATCTTTCTCAATCCAGTGAAGTTCTGCTACAATGCATGGCTATTGCATTCCGCCATAATATTATTGATGTATTGGCTCCTGCTAGCTTTGAAATGCTTGAATGCTTTGGGCAGTTTGATCCAGTTTTGACAAGCCAGTTTTTGACTCTTCATCAGGTAAAACAGCTAATGAATTACAGGTTTTTCCAGTAAAAATTATATGTGCAAAAATGTCTATTAATGTTGCCTAGAAATTGATCATTAATTCCCTGTATAAAAAACATGTGGTATTGTTGATAATTACGTATTTATATATTTATATTATTAAGTCTAAAATATATATATTTTATATATAGCGTATTTGGAATGTGTCAGTATATTGCCTGTTAAAACAAGTGATAAGACAGATAATATAAAAGGCCAGTATTGCCCTTGCAGAAGCACAGAAACATGGAAAAGATTTAGCTTACTTGGAGGCTGCATTCAGAGCATAGTACTTTCCACTGAGCTTTGAAGACTAAGTGCAAGAATATACATGATAAAGGCAGACAAAGAAGTCAGTTCTAACTACTAATTTTTAAGAAATAGTCATAAGTTATTGCCAAACTTATATATTATTGTTTACATTGTAAACATAAATAATAGGCATGTTTATACAATATATACATATATGCATATATATACACTAGATATAAACATATACTAGATATAAACATATTTTGGTGGGGAAAAATAAACTAATATAAAAATTTTACAGAGCTGCTTAGCTTCCACGATGATGAGGAATATTCTTCTAACAGCTACTTTAAACACCAGCAGCTCACAGCTGGCAGCATTATTGCATTTTCAGAACCACTTAAAACAAAACAGAGATACAAGTGATCTTCAGAAAAATGTGGAACAGCAACTGACTGCTATTTCAAAGGTAACTTTTCAAGTAGTGCTACTTAAGAGGAGGTTATATGTATGCTATACAGTTATACAGAAACACGCACACACACATGCATGTGTTTTATGTAGTTATATTATTTCTGGAATTAAATAATATTTTTTCTCATTACTTTGGACTCTGTTAAATATTTTTGTTTTCTTAATTTGAAGCATGGTATTGACTTGGTGGATGCAGTTATGAACTGAAATTCTGTTTTTGTTAGTATTGAACACACTGCCCTATAGTTTTGCTTATGATATGTTATCTGTGTGCCAAAAGCTATATACTTTAAGTTAGAAGCAAGATATAAAGATGAAATTCAGGCTTGTCCTGTAGTAACTATTTTAGTGTAGCCTGGTAGTGGAGTTGTGCATGTCTGCATGCACGACCCATTGAAATCATTGTACACTGAATTATCCAGCTGTACGTACCATTGCAAAGGACCCTTGCAACAGAGACCCCCATCAACCACCTTGCTTGAGATACCTGGGCAAGTGTTACCCTATGAAAAGATCCCGATAAAGTAGCTTTGGGGGTTTTGTTAGCAAACTCTTCATGAGTTTCTGGCCATCAGAAAACTGTGGTGGTGCAAAACCAGATGTTTAAAGAAACCAACCAGTAAAAATCTAATTCATGATGCATGGAGCAAATCATGGTTAAACTTTTCTGGGAGAGAAATATTCTTAGTCTTTGGATATAAACTGATTGAAAGCTATGTATTCTTCATATATCTAAGATATAAAAGTGGATACCAAAACTAACCTTAGAAAATCCTAGCTTAAAAACCTCTTTAAAGTTAAGTAAAAAAAAAAAAAAGAACTTATAGGAAGTTAGCTACAAAGGATTAGCTGACAGGCATTTATGCAGGTCCAGGAGAATTTACGAAATACGGCAAGTAGAGATACAATGAGGCATGAGAAAAATTCATGTTTGCATATTATTTACTTTGGCTCTTTCCTGTATGTTCTGTATTACTCAACAGAGAAGGGAGGATAATACTTGATTTAGCAGACACTGATTTGAGTTGCAGTAATCATCTAAAAGGTAGAAGATACCAGAGCTGAAAAGATTTAGCAGCAGCACCATGTGCTTCCGTAGCTCGGGAACAAAAGTGCTCAGTCGAGGCATCTACTTATCTCTGCGTGTTACACAGGATGACCTCAGGCAGCCAGGGGTTCAGGAAGCCAAAGTGGTCACTGAAGCTCTGCTCTCTCAGAGTATGCTAGAGGGGTTTTAAATTACAGTGGTAGTTTTCAGTTCTGATCAGGAATGTGCTTTTTCAAAGTCAGTCTTCTGACTGTTCTCGGTTACTGTGCTTTGGTTTGCATCGTGGAGCAGTGAGTGCATGAGCTGGATTCCTTCTAGGCACAAACTGAGCTGGGTGTCTGATGTGCTCCAGGCACAGGTAGGCATGCAGTCCAGATGACCAGTGTAGAGGTACTTGGAAGTAAAAATCATTGAGCAGTGTATACAGCATACAGTTGTGCTCCTGAGTTCTTCGCAGCTCTGTGATGCACACATCGGCAGAGTAGGTTAAAGGGAGTGTGCCTGAGCACAGGAAAGACTTCGACCTGGACAATAAATAAATACGAATGCTTAGACTTAGCTTTGTCAGAGATGTTTATAGTGCTTGCTGTGTAAGGGCCAATATTTCATCTGGAGACTAAATTCTGGGTTTAGTCATATCCCGTGGGGTTTCTGCTTTTGTCTTCTCAAAAACAGCTGCACATTCTTAGCATAAGGTATAATTATTTTATATAGTTTTTTTTAGTGACATGTCTGTTATTAACAAAACAGTGAAGGATTTAAATGAGTGTGGATGTTATGATGAGTTATTCTGCTCCCTCCTTTGCTGATCTGCTTCCTATTAGATAATATTTTTACATCATAGGTAGTGTAGCAGCCAAAAAGATCATGTTGTTATCGAGTGGCCTAACAATTACAGCTATTTGTAATTTGCTTAGGATAATATTTCTAATCTTTTATGGACTGCACAAAAATATGTTCTGTGAGTGTTATTTTTCCAAATAAGACACCTTCTTTTCTAGAATTACTGTTTTCTTCTGGTGATAGAATAGAGAGAGTATTTTATAAAATGTATGAAACTAATGTCACTTTTGAATTATCGTGCAGGCATGGAAAAATCTCTGTATTCCTGTTGAACATTTTAATATCATGAATGAATTGCCACCTAATTTTTACATAGTTACCCTTCAGCATTCAGAAGACAGGTATAAAATTTCATCATTTCAGCTTATTATTTTGTTTGGTGCCAATGTCATCTTTCTATACCAGTGAATAAAAGCTATATTGATTGTTTATTAACTTTTCTTATGTCATGGAAATGCAAACAAAAATATCTTTTACTCGATATATAGCAACAAAAGAATTCCTTACATTTCTTACTTTGTTCACACTAAATTTTGTAGATTTGTTGAATTATCAGCAGTTGATAAAATTGCTTCCTACCAATAAACCAGATAATCTACTCACCATTTTTCTGCTTTCTGTAGATCAAACTTGTACAGTTCAGTGATTGAGAAGCCAAAAGTAAGTCCTGCACAACAAAGAGGAAAGCCCACTCAGCCAATGGGTAAGTGCCTGTTATATTAAGGAATCAAAATAATTGTCCTGGTATTTTTAGCAGATTCATATGTTTCACTATTGCTATTTTAGATAATTGTTGTAACTTTTATTAATACCAGAGGAAGGTGTTTCCTAGTCAGTTGCCATGTGTCTAGTCACAATTTATATAATTTATATTGATATTTGAAGGCCAAAGTTATTATATGTAAATATCAAGTGATTTTTAATTGTATATTTCTGTATAGATTCTGTGCTAAATTTATGTAAACCGTTATTTCATATCTCGAGGAAAACTGAGAAATACTGTTTTAGATCCTGAGTGTCTCTCTATAACCATTTCTTCAATTAGAAATGATTTTTTTTAAGTGTCTTAAAATGGTCTTTCCTCCTTTTAAAGCTAAAGTTTCTCGGTTTCCCATGAATCCTGATATATTTTGTGTTTTGTTGGAAAAAGTGCGTCTTTACAAGCAGCAAAAGATGAATAGTCTTAAAAAAACTAGCAGTCAAAACTTGCAAGAGTGTGTCTCCAAAACAGATGAGGTAATATATTTGATTATCTTATATTTAAAATAAGATGAAAAACGTGTACTAAAAGTTGTCAGAAATACATATAGATACACACACACACACACACACACAGATACACACATAGAAAATTTCAATTTGTTGCAAATGTATCTGTGCGCTTCATAATTAAAAAATTCTGTCTGTGCTCTGCTTATGATTTAATCTTACTATTATTTTTCCACTGTTATCTCAATATGTTATTTAAAAGGTTTGAAATGTTCTGTATTTTAGTGCAGTGTAAACTTGCTATAATTGAGTCCAGATCCCACAAAAATGAAGTACTGTATACTCTTGAGTTTGCGTTTTGCACATTGCCTGTCACACCTTTAATTCTAGATAAAGAAAAAGATTTTACAGGAGAGCCCCAGATATCCCCCCAAAAATTTAACTCAACTCTTAAATTGAAACAAATTAGACTTAGCCAGAGAATTATCAGTTCCCAACATGGGACCGTCTCTTTCTAAAGCATACAGTATCTCTTTCAGTGTAAGTGCTTATCTGAATGCAGGAAATATGAATCCGTTACTGTCATCTGCTTCAAGGACATACCTAATTGGATTCCAGATTATATCTGTGACTTTGAACACTCTTAAATTCTAGTTTTGTACAAGTTTTGTGTTCCTACAAGATGTTTCAGTTCTGTAAAGACTTTGTTTCTAAATTTCATTGTGTAGTGTAAAGGCACAGTGGCAAAAGCCTGTGGCTTTTGTATAAACTTTTAAGCTGCAAGATCACAGGAAGTGTTCTACACATTCACTATGTAAGTCTTTGTCCCCTGTCATTCTCAATTACATTAATTTTGACTCTATTAGTGAATATATAGGTGTTCACACTTGGGTTTTTTGAAACTGGTTTGATATATTCATATTTTCCAATTCATGATGATTAAATTAATCTGATGTAGCCTCAATTTAACATATTGCACCTTAAGTCCTTGCTAAATACCATTTTGTAAATATTCTATTTTTTACTGAAATTTGTTTGACAGTCTCCCACAGACAAAATAGATGAGAATGTACAGGATTTTACATCAGATTTCTCTGAAATAGTGGAAGTTATGGAAGACTATCTGAAACCAGTGCTGTCACAGTTTGATTTTCTTGATATGAGGTAAGACATTCAGAATTGTTTCATCATCATTTGAGGAAATAAAATTGTGACCCAGGCCCTACCGATACAGGAATGATTTTAGCAAGCATAGAACCTATGGAATGGACCTTTTACTCCTTTCAAGATAGTATATGCAAATCTAAGAGGACTATGTAACTATATATACAATATAAAATGCTAATATCCATTTCTAAAAAGCATTTTCCTCCAGCTCAAATCATAGCATATTGATCTGAAGGTGAAACATTATAACTAAACAATTTAAGGATGGGTTTTCCAAGGGCTAGGATCTCCAAAGGGGATATGTTCTCTGCCTTAAATTTCCTTGAGCTTGCACTGCCTGTTCTTTATGCCTCCTGTGAAAACCTTTACTTGTTTATGTATTGATGCTAGTTATATTTTCAATGTTCATATTCCCAGAGAACAGACTGCATCAGTTTCAACTGAATCAGGAAAAATGAAAGTGAAAGATAAGGATACCAAACGCACTGAAATACAAGGTATGTGTTTTCTTGAGGATAATACATGGATATAATATATGTAAATACATATATCAGAATGCTGATCTTCGTTATAGTTTTTGGTTTTCTGAAGTCAGGGAGAGAGAAAAAAGATTTTGTCTGCATTCATTTTCTATGCCTGGTTTAATATTTTAGTGTATTTCCAAAGCGGTTACTTATATGCTGGAAGGATATGCATGTATCCAAGGCCTCCAAACTACAGGTTTCAGAGAGCCAAGAAAAATGGCCTTATCACAAACCAGTCTTTTCAGGAGAAAGGCTAATAGAAAGAGAACTTCCTTCACTCTCTTCATCCCTTTGTATATTTTATGTTTTCCTCCTTTTGACTCAGTGAACTTTCGCAATGCTTGTGGACCATCACAAGATTTTTTGCCTCATGGTGTGGGGTAGTGAAGTTTACAATTAAAAATCACTAAAAAATAAAAAAATAAAATTGCAATTGTTTATGTTTTTTTTCCAAAGAGTTTCTTTCTCCAACGTGGCAGCTGGTTTATTTTGTCATTCTGGAAAGACCTAAGATAACCTGTCTTTCATGAATTTGTTGTTTCTCTGTACCAAATGGGAAAATGTTGGCATAATGGTACTTAGTACTTCTTTCTAAATAACAGAAACAAAACTTCCAACAAAGTGATATAGTTAGCATTGGATAGGAGATCTTTTAAAACTTTTTTTTTAAGCCAAGCATAATTTTTAAGTCAAACAGTGTTTCATTTCCAAATATCTCTTCCTTGCCTACATTGCATGCACATGACTTTAGGATGGTGTGGCTATTAATATGAGGATATTTTTTCCTCTGAAGAATTAGTTCTCACAAATTCATATGCTTACAAGCTTGCGTCTTAGGGAGAGCTACATCAAAAGAAATATAATTGTATAACACACTTTATTCACAGTGAAATGCGTTTCAAGCATTATGCAATAGAAGTTTTTCAAATAACTTCAGCTATTGGTATACATACTGAGAAATACTAAATCTCAGTCTTGCTGTATTTCTTCAGGTACATCTGTGGAGTTTGGATTGTGTGTGGTATTATTGGTAGATACATTACTTATGGAATTGCCTTTGGAAGCACTGAGTATCTTTCAAGAAGAGGGTGTATGTTCTGTATCCAGAGATTTTTCTCTCCAGATACTCTACAATCGAATGTGTGTAGAAGAATCAGGTACTATTAAATTAGTATGATAAAGCGATAAGCAAGATACTTAAAATGTGAAGAATATGAATGGTATAATGTATTTTATGGAAATACTGTCATATACCATAGATTCCTAGTATTTGGGCTGTAATACAAATATTAGCAATGTGCAGTAATGCAAGTATTAATGCAACATATAGTGTGTGTTTTGTAGTAATATATTTTCAGTGCTAGCTAATTTGAAATGACATATACTATGAAAGAATAAGTTAAGTCTGGTGGATTCTAAGATAACTTAGGGATTTTGAAAGAAAAAGAAAGACTTTAACTTACATTATGTATGACTTTGTATCTTTGCTTATCTATTACCAAAGTTACAGAAAAACAAAGTTATATTAGTCATATATATTAGTATATTAGTCATATAAAAGAACACATTTAAACTCTAACTAAATTACTAAACCTAGTGAGTCTAGACAAAAAATAGGATTAGAAAATTTCATTCTATACCATGAAAGTATTCTGCAACGCAGAGGTTCCTGTACTGTGTTCACATCAGTAATATTTGGTCCCTTAAGTATAATTTATCCTGTGTTTTTCTATTCCAAGCTTCTTTTCCACAAATAGGGAAGTATGGATAATCTGGGTTTAAAACATTTTTAAACTACATACACATTCACATATTGTTATATGTCTATTAGAAATAGGAATTTTAGAACATGTAGTTTTTTTCATTTCAGTTTTACCACTTTTCAAAGTGAAACTTAATTGTAGAAGCAAATAAAAGAGAGGAAGTGTAGCTGTGAAGCCTCTGTGCACTGAAAGAAAAGCAATAGCCAAATGAGTATTAATGCATATCTCAAATTTCCCCCAGCTTCCAGGGCACTCCAGTGATAACTGACAGCCATACTTGGGCAATAGCCATCCATATAGTGAGAAATAAGCCGTTTTCTTGTCCTCTTTTAAAATCCCTGAAAAAAAAAAATGATTAACATGTGAGATACCTTTTTTTTTCTGATAATCTCTGCATATTTCACTGAAGCTGTGGTTATTCCAATAACATCAATGACGAATAAGTACTCTAATAGGTTAGGAAGGGCTTCACTGATTACTGTTCAGCTCTATCCTCCTAAATGTAATAAAACCTGTCCTAAGGGGTCTAAGGGGTAATGTCTCAGCTTCTTTTCCACTTTTAAGCCATTTTTAGATAAGAGGGTTTGCGGTATGTCCTTGTGTTTCTGTTACATGAAATAAATTTTTGTTTCTCTAGCTTAATGTGTTGTTATTACACCCTTACAAACACAAATAATTTTCAAGAAATTTTTGATTTCTAAAACTGTCAATTGTTCAATTCTACAGAGATTGAAATGAAAAACAATGTTGAGATGCCTAAAGAACCAAAACCAAAAGCTGATCAGAAAAAGAATGTCAAAGCGGTAAACTGTCCTACTTCTTTAAATAAGCTCCATAGGATTAATTTTTACTCTGTAATATGTATGCTTATATTATAGAATTATAGTAGTTTCTATAATTTTTTATTATATTTTCTTGATCTGCATTCATGAAAAGTTCATTATATATATTAGGAATCTGAAGTGGAATAAATATTATACAGTCCCATAAGAATCTTTTTATTTTATTTTATTTTTTACTGATTTTGCAATAACTGCAGAGTTGTTGTTTCTTGGAAGATCATACTGTTTATGTAAATGTGATGTATTTAACAATCCACCAGGAAGAGGTGCTTAAAGTTGCCAGAACTACCTCCCCTTAACAATATGGTACACTGTATATAGAATATAACCATATTTTTTAGAAATAAATCTTTTATAGATAGATAATATAATGTATCTTATGCTTTTAATTTCAGTTGGCAGTTGGATATCATTCTGCTTTAAATCTCACCTTCTAAATATCAATGTTTTGTAATTGTAGGCATCCATTAATCGTGTTTTACCTTCTAATTGCCTGTCTGTTGATACCCATAATTTCAAATGTATCCTTTCACAAACTATTAGCTAAGTCTATCAGTTAAGATAAATTTCCATTATTTTTATTCCATTGTTTACACTTAACTGTGTATCAGATGTTGTGGATCCCTATAATGAAGGAAGAGAAGCAGGTAATATAGAATACTACTAAATAATATTAAATAATACCTACTCAATTTTAAAAATTATGTAACTGAAAATGAAGTCATGACATTGAGCGGTTGACAAAAAAATGAAGCTTTTCATCAGAACGGTAATGCGTAGTCATCAGTCAATTGGTGCATCAATGAAACAATAAAACCAGGTTTAGGAAAGAAAATGTTTGTGTTACTATTTCTTTCATATCACTAAATATTGAACAAATAATTGCTTTAGTTACTTTCTTATTATATTATCCAGTTGAAAACACAAGCCTTCTTTCAACAACTAGTTAATAGTGTTTTTTGAGATACCCATTACCCCTTGTTCTGTCACTGGCCACCACTCGGTAACCTTCTCGGTAACAGGACAAGGGGTAATGGATACCAACTGAAACACAGGCAGTTTCATCTCTGTGTGAGGAAGAATTTTTTTCCTGTGAGGGTGGCAGAGCCCTGGCACAGGCTGCCCAGACAGGCTGTGGAATCTCCTCCTTTGGAGATCTTCCAAACCTGCCTGGATGTGACCACGTGCTCTGTGCTCTGGGTGTCCCTGATGGAGCAAAGGTCCCTTCCAACCTCAACCATTCTGTGATTCAATATCAGTAGGGCCAGAAAGGATATAGGTTAATTGAAAGAATATGATGCTTTGTATAATCTTTGTTATGGAAGAAATCTGCATGAAAGCTATGAATAGACTTAGAGTAAATGGTACTGAATGGGAATGCATTGGGACAGGGATGTTGGAACTCAGCAGACTTCTACGGCATATTTCAAGCTAGTGTCTTAAATGAAGTATATTTTTGTATATAGGATACATAATTTATATATATATATAATTTAAATACGAATGTAAGTATACAATTAATATTTACAAATATGTATTTTTGCTTATATATACATAAAGCATGTCTAGCAAATCAAACCTTTGCATGTCACCTTACAATTAATTTGGGGAGATGAAGGTTCCTAAGACAGATGTTAGGGTTAGGATATTTGTAATGGTTACCATTTTCTTGTAGAGTGTATTTATCAAAGCCACAAGTTCTATTAATTCAGTCTGACACAAAATATTTCAATAATACAATTTAACCTCACTTTTTCTCCAATTATATCCGATAGCTTAATGGAGTCACATTTCTTAATAAACTTACTTGGGTGTAGAACTCCAAAAACGATCTAACAAAGATCTTTGTGACACTTAATCTCAACTCAGAGGAAACTACTGAACAGTCAGTAGATACTGGCACACATCTGCATATGTTCGCAGTTTCACTTTCACAGCAGATAAAAATTCACTGCTGTTTACAATTAACCCAACATCTGGACTTGAGAGTATCTTTAATTTACAGTATTAGGAAAATATAATCACAAGGGAGAAGATGAGTTACCATTAGATAAGTTTGGAAAATGCAGGTCAATTTGGAATTTTCTGAAATTATTTAAATTGAGGACTCTGGAAACTGATCTGTTTTTTCTATCTACTTAAGTCCTCAGAGTCCCTGCAACAAAACTACACAAGCAATATTGATATTTTCAACTCTTGACACTTTTCTCAGGGTGGCTGGAGTTTATTCTTTGTACTTCTTCAGTCTTTAAGCTGTCTATTGAATTAGCCTTCTCAGTTGCAAAATATCCCTTCCAGTGGCAATTACAAGCAATTGTACCTGGTTGGGGTAAATGTCACAATTACTACAGCTTTAAAAAGTAGACTTTCTTGTCATAAAAAAATGAGATCTAATATGGCTTAAATGAGGCTTAATATTATATTGTCATTTTAAAATGTTTGAAATTAATATTGTGCATTGTACCTTCTCGTATGCTGAGCTCATATCAATTAAATTCTAATATTGCAGAATCTGTAAGTCCCTCACAAAAAATAAATGAAATCCTAGAAAAATACCATGACCCATTTACATTGCAGTGGGAAGGAGTTATTGGAAACACACATGCTCCAAGGTTTGTAATATTTCAACTACTTTCATTTTTTGTCTGTGTTTCTTTTTTATAATGGTGTTGCTTCCCAATTTATTCCCTTCACTCTCTATAGGAGCAGTTTACTTTTATGGTCATAGAAATAGAAGCCTAAAAGATATCTCAAGGACTTAATCAGTGCTGTAAATGAGACAACACAGTCGTCCCTGGACCTCTCTTTATAACTCTTTGTTTAATTGGTGCTTTAAAATCTTCTCTAGTAATATTAAATACGCAGTGGTGTAGGCACCCTCATGTCTCACAACAATTAGAAAGATAGAACTATTGCGAGGTTGCATAGCTTTTGCTGTTGGCTAGGGTGAATATTTGCATCTCTTCTCAAAACGGAATTTCTTCATACCCTGAATACTCCCTTGGAAAGTTAGATTAAATACTGCTGTTTCAGAGTTACATAAATGCATGAGTTGGTGGGTTCTCAGAGTTATCCATGTTAGTTATCCATGAAATACAGTCTATCTGTTGTTTGCTGAGCTGAAATGTTGCTAAATTAGGTATACCTTTTTATTAAACTAATAAGGCAGTAGTTTGTATGAGCTACTACTCTTTGTATAGAATATTGTAGGTTTGTTTGTCTCCTTGATTTGTATGCTTGCTTTTGTAATAAATATTTCAAGAGCAACTAACTCTAAAGTGTTTGCTATGGATGTTTTCTGAAAAATATTCTTGTACAGTATTTCCATAAAAATAACTTCCTTTCTTTGCAGCCAGGCTGAATGGGAGCAGCTGCTGACCAACTGCAGTGCGTTTGTATTCTATGGGATGGAGCGCTTCCTGTCTCATATGTTGCTCAACAGGCTGGTTGCTATGAACATCCCAAGTGAGATAAGCAACTTCCAAAGTATTTTTTTATTAGGACATTTTTTTCCCCCCAGAAATAACAAAAATGTGTTTATTTCATACCTTGTCATTATGAATCCTTGAAGTAAGCAATGAAGCTCTTTTCTCAAGATTGAGTATTTTAATTGAAAAAACTTTGCATTTATTTTATTCTTCTGCACAGCTTTCTCTTTATTCCTCGCAAATGATTTAATTCTTTCTCCTTTTCCAAACAGTAGGATTTTAAATTACAGAAGTTCTCAAAGTTGAGCCATCATCTGTTGAGCTTTCCACTAACTCCTCTCCCTTTCTCTTGAACCAAGTATTTGTTAAGAATGTGTTTTTTACTGCTGAGAACAACCTCAGCAGCACCACTTCACCAAACCCCGTCTGCCCCATGCAGGCAACACAGAACTGTCCTGAATACTGGATTAATACAGAGTGATTTTCCCTGTACTGGGGAACCTTTGTAGAGTCTGAGAAGGTATCTTTTTCTGCCTCCTCACAGCTAATTAATTCTTCTCGTGTTAGAGCATGAGGCTCCGACTCAAGAGGGTATTTTGGGTTCCCAGTAATCCTCTGTGCTCCTGTTCCCTTTGAACATCCTGAAGACACTGAATTCAGAGCCGAGTTGTCAGAGCAGGTCAAGTGTTAGCTGCCTTTTGGACTGTGCTGAGCATGTGAAACTGCGCTCTTCTCCTCACATGATTGCCTCATTCGTGCTGCCTTTGGGGGACTGTTATGGTTGATGATACTCCTTGAACCATGTCCCAGAGAATTGTGGCAGTGATAGATGGCCTGGGGTAAAACTATGACAGGGAATACACCAATAATTAAACAGTATGAATGACTTCATGCCAAAGCATGACAAACATAAAGAAATACATACAGCGTAATAAAATACAAATGTATAGAGAATACTATTTGCAAGTGACTTCTAGTTGTTCTGTGATTTGACAGCAAAAGTTAACTGAGAGCATTTGTAAAAAGCTTATTTAGTTATTACTGTGAGTTATTAAAGTACTGTGATGATCTTCTAGGATGATATAAAATGCATTAAATATGTAGTCTGATAATTGCTAGCAAACATCAGACACTTCATTTTATAAAAAATTATGGAGGTCTTTTGTGGTGGCTGATAACAGCAATTTTGCAAGCTTGGAACCCACACTTCATTATACTTTCTGGTTCTTTGTCCTGAAAGGAATTCCATTGATACTGTCCCTCCCCAGCTTAGTAAGGGAAAAGTCTGTAATGCTTTCTTTGCTTCTAAAATGGTCTATGCTAAAACCTCTTCACTAAAACTATTGCTCTACCCTAGCAGGTGTTTGAACTTAGCAAAGATAACGTAAGGAAAGAAAAAATTAGATAGGTAGATTTTGGGTTGTGTGATGAAGTTAAATTTTGTTTTATTTTGCAATGATACTTACTATGGAATACTTCAGAAAGTGAGTGGTGTGATCTATGGGGTCATTAGTTAATTTTCTTACCAAATGCACAGAGTACAGGTGACAGAGTGCTTGAAAAAGGCAAACCTACTTCTTGTCTTTAAAAAGTGAGGATGAAGGAGAGCTCCAGAACATAATTTCACTGGAAAATACATGAGAATAAGAAATCAAATAATGTAGTCCAGGTCAGTAGTGAACAAGTTGCATTGAACTAATCTCATTTCCTTCCATGGAATGGGAATAAGCCCTATGAATGTGTAGTAGTCTTACTTTTTCACTGTGTGATACTCTTTCAGACTTTACCACGTGAAATTCCCATAGGCAAGGTGGGAGGAAATATCCAGTATTATTGAGCATGCTATTGATTGGGAGCAAAAATATTTGAAAAATATGCTCATGGGATGTAGTTTTCTGTGGCAAGCAGTGTAAGACTGGGTCAGGCTTGGTTCCTGAGGGCTCTAACCTGGATCCAATACATGTTTTTGTTGATCATTCGGATGATGAAATAGAGGATATCTTTGCTGAACCTGGCAATGAGAACAGCCTGAGAAGGAGGTAATTCAGGAACTCCTGAAATGCAGGATTAGAATTCAAATTAAATAACAGGATGTAATTCAGTAAAAGCTACAGGATGGTGTTAAACTTAAGTAGAAATGATCAGCTAATCATAAACAAGTGAGTGCCTAAGAGACAGTTTTACAGAATAGAATCAGGAGGTGGATCAAGTATCTTAAAGGCTATCAAAAGAGAAAGTTAATTAAATGCTCTATCTGCCTATGACTATGAGTAGTAGGTTTAAGCTGCAGCAAACCAGGCACTTGGGAAAGCTTTGTATTTCTGAAAATATTCAAGTTTATTTCACTGGTGGCCTGTAAGGAAAACATCCTTAAGGAATGTTTTGCATGTTCCTTGGTCCTTGTCACGCTAGCCTGTTAAAGGTGGCAGGAAAATAATCCAGATCGGCAACAGCCGCTGGTCTTGAGTTAGTTGATTTTATTCAGCAGTGCAAGATCTTTGTGATAACAACATCCACCATTAACTGGCACGATTGTTATAGGGGATTGGTTTATCAATTGATAAACAGGAATTAGCACAAGTAAATGAAGCTCAGTATACTGCTTGTCCTAATAAAATGTGATAGTGTTTCTTCCCCCTGAGCATACAGGGGCCTCTCAACCTTGCAACAAGTTACTTTAGCCCAGAATGCCAGGTAGAGGGAGGGCAGGGCTACTCACAGTCCGGCCAGAGGAGTTGGTCAGGTGCTGTTCCTGATCCCTGCTCTAAGGACCCTGTCCTTTACACCATAACAAGGAAGAAGATATGACTTTGATATGGTCATCCTTGTAAGGTGATTCTTCCAGTATCAGCAGGCAAGTGCTGTAAGATTATCTGCTGTTCGAACCATCAGCGAGACAAGTTTCAGTTCTTCAGCGAGTATTGCAGTTGTATTGCTTCTTTAGCAAGTTTGGTGTTGTTCGCAAATTTTAGCAAAGCAAGATCACCCCTCTTCACAAGGCTTTCCACCTCCCTACCTTGCTGTTACGAGAAAGTACACAGAAGTTTCCACCTCATGTCGTTGGCCCATCAGCAGCGGTCTTGCAGTTTCAAATGTTAACTCATTGTTCACTCATCATACCTTGAAGAAGGTCATCAGTCATACCTTGAAGAAGGGAGATAAGGTCAATAACTTTTTCATTCTTCCAACACAAAATTCTGTGATTTTAGAATGGAATCATGTGGAATCATATCAATTACTAGCTGTAATTAAATGGTACACGGACCTTGTTATTAATTATACTAAGGTGGCATAGGCAAACCTGCTAGCCACTGTGGGAAAGTATAGCAAATTCATACTAGATAATGTTAAGATGATATTAGAGAGGCACTTTTCCTTAATATTTGACTTTAATATTTGAATTTTGATTGAAAAATATTAATTTTGTATTAGCTGTTTACACTGTACTTTAAGAAAGTTGTTAACTAAAGAAAGGTCTGTTTTATTTTATTATGGTAAACAGTATTGTTAGTGCAAATACACTTACTCAAGCAGATCCTTTTGTTTTTTTCTAGAATGCCATTTGATGATACTTTTAGATCTGATGCAATCAAAGCAAAGTTATCAGCGAGTGATGAACTCTGATATCCACAAAAGGTAGGATGAAAGTTACTCTTGTAAACTCTACAGTAATTATTTTTATTATAAAACAAAGCTAAAAAATTAAGTTACAAATACTTTACTTTCATTTACTTCCACAAACAGAAGTACTCAGAATTGCATCTAAATGTGGAGTCAGACTCTTCTTGTTCCATTCATTACATAGGGGCCGTATGGGATCAAAGGTATGTGGTACAGCAGTAACGGAGAAAATACTCCGATGGAGAAAATACGACACCAAATGTTAGCTGTGACCCTTACCTGCCGATTCTGATCTCAAGAATCTCCAAAGATTCTTGTTAAAGATATAACGATCTTTAAAAATATATAAATATGTTTAAGTATAGTTTTACTGCCCAGATATTAATCATTTGTTATTTAATGTATGGTGAATTTTCAGGCAGCCAAATTATGCTCTTAACACGGAGCAAATCAAAATGCAGGTACTTCTATTCACATCATCATTGGGACAGCCATATTAAGGCAGCCAACTCAAGCTTGTATCTAATCCTCAGCTCTGCAACAATCCTTTTGACTTTTCTGACTATTCATTCCATGAATGAGAAATATAAAAAGACTCTTCCTAAAAATATAGTTAATAAGCATGGACGTTTCTCAACAAGTTCAATGAATGCAACAATGCATGTTACAATGTAACATGTAATTGCATGTTACAGTGTAGCATGTTACAATGTAACATATAAGTACGATATAAAACTTGTGTACATATATAGACAAGTATCTGTTTAAAAAAACCTTGTGTTTTTATTATTATTATCCTCTCTCCCCTCCTGAAAACAGTTACGTCCTAAAACAAGTGAATTTCCCACTCTTTGCTTTTGAAGTATCATTTTAATGGACGTTAGTAGAAAACTTTGGTTACCATCTTCTGCTAACATTACCGTGAAAAGGAGAGATTGACAAAAGCAAGATTCAGCTTCTAAGTTATTGCCGTTTCAGTGCTATAGAGATTCATGTCCAGCATTAAAACAAATTACTTGCTTAAATATTCCGGAGAAGAAATTTGAATCCCACTCTAGAAGTGATTTGGTTTTAAGCATCCAAAATTACTGCCATGCTCATTCTAAATGAAGCATGCCAAAGAGCAAACTTATTCTTAATGCAATGTTTTCTTTATCCCTTCAGGAACTTAAACAAAATCAAACAGTCATTTTCACAATTTGCCCATCATTTTCCCTGAATTGTAGAAGTTATTCTGCAGTATTTTGTAACAGTCTACGTGTTTATTCCTCCACTGCCATCTGTTTAGATGTCCAAAAAAGTACTATGACAGGGTCAGGAGCAATCCACTGGCTAAGTTCCATCATGTGAAGATGTAGTGATGAAGTTACAATAGTTCTTTATATTAAATATAAGGTACTGTGTCAACCATGCAAGAAAAACTCAATCTGGCGTTTTTCTTTGTAGGGCGAAAGTTTTAAAAAAAATTCTTTCCCCATCTATTAAGAAGTATCATTTGCTTAATTTCTTGATATATTTTTAGTCAACTTTTAATTCTATATTTTAATTCTAATAATTTTATTATTCTCTTCCTTTTGATTTTCTTTAGCTGTGCACGTATTGCTTTGGAGAGACCAACAGAGACAGCAATACTTCTAAGCCTTATTGGTGTTCGTGCTATAATAGCCAACCAGTGGTACACGACTCTGCAAGAGAATGCAGAAAGACTAGAAATTTTATCTGAGAGTATGTATTCTTCATTGTTTGTGTATGAATTTATTCACGCCTTTGTACATAGGTGCTCATATGCTGTGTGTATCTACTCTCTTTCTGTGATGATTTTTTTTTTTTTTCCAAAACTTGTCTGTGAAGTCCTAGTCTCCTTGGGCTAGTCTTCTAGGTCTAGTCCACTTAGTCTCCGTAAAAGGTGAAGAGTGTACAGGAATGACCATGTGTTGTTGATAGCTTGATCTTTCAAACAGAAAAATAACCTGTTAGGAACTGAAACGAGTTTAGTGGAGGAAGCGTTTATGGTCCTGTAGTAGGACTAAGATTTTGATGTGGAAGAGTAGCTGCAGAAGGAAAAACAAACCAACCAAAAAAGCCCAAAGATAACTGCCACCCTCAGAGATACGAAGTAAAAATTCTAGAAGTAAATTTCTTTAAGTTTTCTTCATTTCTAATTTCTTTTAAGTAATTTCTTTAAACAATTTATTTGAAAAAATATTTTCCCCAAAATTTTTCATTAATAACTCATAAAATATTTCTTTCCAGATTTGTTGAGAATTGGGAAGACAACTGGGCAGACAGTCAATATCCTTCAAAAGAGGAAGATCCACAGTAACTCAGTTAAAAGTAAGAAGTGAAAAACTTTATACAAAAGCCTAGCATTGTCTTTTAACAGAATTAAAACCTAGTATTTAATCAGTAAATCCATAATTTTAGGTATTGCTATTTTTTGTTTCGTGTAAAAGCAGGAGCGAGCTGTGGACTGAATTATCACTGTATACCTTGAATTAAATAATGATCTGATAAAGCTTTTCTGTTTAAAGTAAAATGCAAAAATAGCAAACTGTACAGACTAGAAGATAATCAGTTTGAAATCTCAACTCATTTGCATCTGCACCCTACATAAATAAATAAATGAAAGACCTTGATATGTCCTTACTACCTTCTCACCAATTTGTATTAAAATGTACAAGGATATCTTAGTCCTGTTTTTTCTCTTAAGTATCTGTTATAATTGGTTGATTCTATTGAAGACCTATGTGTAGTCTGCAGGTATATTTGAAATCTTTCAAATGAGACAACTTTTTGTGACACTTCTTATAAGAATTAAAAGAATAAAGAATCCTTGTAAGGATCAAAAGTGGGAAGACCATTGATAATATAGTTGGAGTAAGAATATTTTAAGTATGTAAAATTTCTTTCTGGAAGTTGATCACAGCTGACAAAACAGTTAAAATGTTTACTCCACTGGACTATTACAAAGTGAAGTAATGTGAAAAGTTAGGCCAACAGCACAACATGCACAATGTAAATTTATTTTTGTGGTGCATAGTGGATTAGTCCTATAGGTATACAATGCAAAAAGATAAGTTAAACCTGCAGTCCTTAGGCAGCCTGCACTGCCTGGCATCTTGTGGGAGCGGACATAAGCATTTTTGTCTTATATTGGCTATTACAAATAAAAGATGTTTACCTTATAAAATCATAAAAATCCTTTTTGTGGTATTGGATTTAGCTCTTAAGGGTAAATAAAATAAATTCTAGTGATTATAAATTACACTGTCGTATAATTAAAGAGGGGAACAGGTCAGATTGTAAGTATTGCTTGATTCTTTCTATTTTTTTTCAAAAAATCTTTCTTGGATATAGCAGCATTTATTTATATTTTAGAGAGGAAGGTTATTAAGCAGAGAAGTGTTAAAATACTGCACTTCGAAGCAGTCTCATACTCAGACATATTTGAAAATAACAATATTTCAAAATTATTTTTCCTAGTGGAAGAGGATTCTCACAATTCTCCTACAGAGAAAGCAGAAGAGCAGAACATTCCTACTCCTCCAGATTTTACTGCAATTCATCCATCAGTTTTTAATTGTGTGTTATATGGTTTACCCAATGTAGTTATTACATAACTTATACCAGACTTCTCATAATAGGAACACTACAACAGGGTACATGGTGCATGCCTTGCACTGAAGGTATCTCAATACCTTTCTGTAAAGCCTAAGAGATCAGCTTAAGAAAATGTATGTTTTGCTGATTGATTGATTTCTGTTTTAGATATAAGCAGTTTCATATTAAAATAGTTGCATTAAATATCAAAGTTGCCTTTTCAATATTTCATATTTCAATTAGTTACTATTCTGTGCTTTTCTGAACTCAGTGAAACCTTTAAAAGAATAATTTAGATATCTATTTACCTTGACTCCAGTATTGCCTTTTTGGACAAATGTGAGCTACTACAAAAGATTTTTGAGTTTAAATATCTTAAATTAGACACAAAATTCCAGTAAAAAAAGGCAGAAATACTTTCCTGGTGAGAAACACAGTTCTTAAAGGAGGTTAAGCGAGTATTTTTGGACATAACTGTATTTGTAATGATAACAGTTGAAATAAAATAATTCAGCATTTACTGAAAATACAAAACTTTGATCATCATTACAAGTAAAAAAAATATTAAAAGTCTTTTTTTCCCCACTAAGACAGTAACCTCTGTTTTCTCTGATCATTTTTTTTGTACCTCATAGAGCATTAAAATGATACTAAAAAGATACTATTCTTGGCTAGTTGCTGTGATGCAGTTAATTAGAACCTGATAGAGTTAGGGAGCTATACAGAACATAAAATCATGACATGCAAAATACTTTTTTCATGCATATAATATAATCTAAATTTGTGCTTCCTTCCTACTTGTGCTCAGTGTTTAATTAGATAATCTTGCACGAACTGCAGGTTCTCTGTCAAATTGTGTTCCGTAACATACACATGTTTATTTCACCTTTAGCTACTTTTCTTCTTCTTTCTTTTTTTTTTTAAATACGGAACATATAGTGTATGTTTTATGTGGCTTATATCTGGGCATTTGGTAACAATACAGATTAAATAAAGCAGAGGCAGTGGGCTATACTTCGTCTGTCTAGTCTGAAAATTCAGGATTCAGTGTAAGTTGTTTTCATATCTCACACTGCCTCACAGACTCACAGAATGGTTGAGGTTGGCAGGGAGCTCTAGGGATCACCCAGTCCAAGCCCTGCTGCAGCAGGGACACCCAGAGCACGGGGCACCCGGGCGCATTCAGGCGAAGGATGAGTGTCCTCTCCAATGAAGGAGACTCCACAGCCTCTCTGGGCAGCCTGTTCTCATGTTTCTCATGTTTCACAAGACAAATGTTATGAATCCCAGTCCCCATTTTTACATTTTACTTATTCATTTGTTCATTTATTTATTTATTTATAGTTCTTTCCAGATGCTGTTTCATTGCATTTGCGAGCGCTCACCTACCTAGTTAAATTCTCATGCCCAGCATTTGGGAACCTGAATTATTTTTGAGTTTGAAGTAGCGGTTTTTCTTAGTGAAGTATATGCCCATACCTGGTGTCCAGTATTACAACTGTCCACTATTTGTTTATTACTACTTTTTCTCCATTATTACCTATTACTCTCCATTGTATTACCTATTCTCCATTATTATTAGAATAATTCTCCATATCATTCTCAACACATCCTTCGTTACAAAATCTATTTCCCTGATGTTAATGGTACTTTTGACCTTCAGTGCTGTCTTTCTAATGCTTTCTCTTTTTTTTCTGTAATAGAAAAGACTTTAGAAAAAAAGTGCTGCGTTCAGTAAGAATCATGAAACCTTATCTGCTTTGCTACGTGGGTTTTGATGAACTTATATTAACTTCTACATTCTTGAAATATCAAACTTCATACTAAATAAAGTCCAGAAAAGTTTCAGCACTTCAGAAATGACAGTAGTGTTGTAGGAAAATAATTCAGGATAAAAGCTTTAAGATTGCAAAGGTTAGAAAAAATTCTCCTATCTAGGTACAGTGGGCTCATTCAATAGTTAACTACTGTGCTTTTATTTATGAAAGTGATGGAAATAACTCAATATTCCAAAGTGTTTTTCTCAAAAAATGTTCCCATTTATGTTTGGTACTTTGGCCCAAACTACATTGCAGCAAGCTATGTCAGAAAGATGAATGAATATGACCAAAAATTTCTTTATGGTCTGACAGTACCACTTTATCAGAAAGCACTGATAAAGAATGATGGCCGTATCCAGGCGACTTCAGATCTGTAAGTTTTGCTTGGTGGGAGTAAGATACTCGAAACATGAATCAGAGGCACTGTAAGGAAACATCTACAAATGAACAACAAATGCAGCTTAAGCATAGTAAAAGTAGATGGCATACATAATATGCATAATATGTGATTGACATTTCTGAAAAAAAAAATGATTGTTTTAGTGCCATGGAGTGTAGTCATAGCCAAATTTCATGGACTATTGGGAGAATACTTCCTATATCACTGTGCTAAGTATCACTCAGTAAAATCCTCAGTGGTGTCAGGACTATATGCATAGAAAATAAACTGTTTAGACTTTAGATAATAGTGGATATTTATGCAGTGACATAAGATACCATTGCCTCAGGAATTAGTATGGGAAATAATTTCTTCTTTTCTTACCTGTCTGTACCAATATGCAGTGACATGATAAAAGTTTCCAGTAGTACAGAAAGTGGAGTCACTGCAGGAAAAGATTATAGAAATTGGAATGATTGTAAGAGAAAAATGGCCATAGACAAATTATTTTTTTTATATTTCTTCATAAATTGACAAAGGGAATTTAGCAGAGGAGGAGGAGAGACTGTATCCTGCATAGAGGAAGGATTCAACTGCTCAGCCAGTGAAATTTTAGTCTGGAATGCTTCCCTGTTAAAGATGGTAATTATGACTGGAAGTAAGTAAATAGATTGAAAAGGAGTGTTAGAAAAAAAATCTGTTTCAGATCCTGATTTGAATAAGCGCTTAAAAGCTTCATGTTTTCTGACATTCTTCGGATTATGCTTTAAAGTTTAAGCAGAAGAATTCTGTGAGAACAAAAGGAATTTTAGTTAGGAACAAAAAGAACCCACTTGCACTCAATTTTAAATGTACTGTAATAGGCCTAAAGAGTCTCAGCATTTTAAGGAGCTAGTAAGTCCTCAGCTTATTCCTTTACCACACACAGCAATGTTTCCTGAAGTCCAGGAGCATTTGCAGAGTTGTAATCGCATCTTCACTTGTGAATCTGCAGGTGAGTCTAAGGTTAGGGGAGAAAGAATGAAAGAGAGGAATAGGCTTTCTGCTGTCTTCTGTGACCATTGAATGAAATCTCTGTCAGCTTTCAAACAGCCTGTGCAAAGGTGTAGGCAAGCATGATCTCCGTTTGAGCCAAGGATCTGGATAAAAAAATAATAATTATAATCTGTGAGATGCTGTCATTGACAAACTGAAACAGCATAGGAATGGCAAGTTTCCTCCCCACACAGCAGGCAACATGTAGGGACAAAGAAAGGCAAAGTAATGTTTTAATGTGCAGCCTGGAAGGGGTAGAAAAAGATTATTTTTGTAGTATGAGACACCTACCCTGCCACCCCCCTGCAAAGAGGCTCCTTGGCTTTAAGTGGTTTGGAGAACTAAACTATAGTGTAGTCATATGAAGTGACTTACTAAGGGGTTTCATATTTTACTATTGAATATTAAACTAATGAACCCAAATTTCCAACTTAAATGTAGACTATTGATTTCACATACGATTTTGTGTAGAAAGAAAATTTCCTAATATATGTATGTATATTCCATGTAT